CTTCCTGAGTACAAGTAATAATGTCTTTAAAAAAAACATTGTTCAGACCTCGTTCTGAAGGACAGAAGGCTACAAAGGTTAAATTGGACCCACTTTAAATTAAGTGGCTTTAACTACTATGTACTAACATTAACATTAATAATTTGATACAATGGATTGTGTACATGTATTGTGTACATACATGTTTTTACATTGTACTTACATTTGTAAAATACCTGCATGTAATTACAGCTGTAATTAATTTATGTAATTACATTTGTAATTACACTGTTGACCCTCCCTTTACACCTTAACCCACCCTTAAACCTACCCATACCACCACACCTGTCCCTAACCTAACCCGTGTCACACCTCAATAGCAGCAATGTGTTTTACAATACAACATGAACACAATAAGTACATTGTACTTATTTTTAAATGTAAGTACATAGTACTTAAAGCCACTTAATATAAAGTGGGACCTAATATTTTTTTCCTAAGCACATTTATTCCATTCAGAAGTCCTACCTTTCGTGGCCCACTCCACACATCGGACCCAATCCTCATGTCCCGTCAGGGTCAGAAGCCTCTGAAACTAAACACAACCACAGTTAACATTCACACACCCACATGACATGCAAAATATGAACAGATTATACAGCATTAATATAAAGTACAGACCCCTCAGTCTTACCTGTCCACTGAGCTGCACGTACAGGTGAACTCTGCTGTCATCTCCTCCACAGGCGAGCACTGGAACTGCAAGAGAAGGAGTTATCCTCCTCATTCACATGGACATACGAGGCAGACAAGTGACTAAGTCTATTCACGCCATCTAGAAGTAAAATACAGCTACAGTCCAGTTGTGAATAATGTAAGAGGGCAGGCTAACGTCGCCCCAGGACATTTTTAAAGCACTGAATGAGATTTTAACCTGTGATAGGGATGAACAGACCTGCAAATCAACACGAGCTCCAGGCACAGCTTACCTCTGCTGCCTGGCAACAGCACCAAGGACACATCCATCATGAACCCACTGCCAAAAGATACGGTCTGGAGGCATTCAGCTAATGAAGAGAACACAAACACCAGAATCAACCCGTCTAACTCACAAATAACAACTTATTATTTTAAAGTAGGGTATTGATAACCAAAAAAATATATTGATATAAGACCAATTAGCCATAAAACCTAATAATGCACTCAGAAGTTTGGGTTCTGCATGATAACTCATTAGATTACTGTCAATTGAATGTTAGGGGAATGATGTAATTCATCATCATCATCGCATGACTCAAATTTTGTCAAAACAATACAGAAATATTGCATTTACCCAACCATACATGGCTTTCACACACTCTGCAAAGAATTCATCACAAACTTTGGCCGCTGAAATATCACTTTCTTTCTGAACAGTAAGAATGGACATCAGAAAGAAAGCAGTAGGATCAATTAAATGATGCATGAGCTTTCATTCATAGTTTGAGCTCTTAATTCTTAATCTTCATTGATCTTTAGGGAGAGACTTAAAGTTAAGACACATTTCCTTCATGATTAGCCTCTTCTTATTACTTATGTAAATGTGACTCATCTAAAGTCACTAAATACATGACATGCTCACATGTATATAGACATATTAAACATTTTGAATATATAAAAATGCACTACCATTCAAAAGATTGGGGTTGGTGTGATTTTTTTTTAAATGTTTTGGGGGAAAAAAAGTAACTTATGCTCAGCAAGGCTGCATTTATTTGATAATAAAATACAGAAATAACTGTAATATTGTGAAATATTATTACAATTAAAAACAACTGGTTTCTATTTTAATGTAATTTAAAAGGTCATTTATTCCTGTGATGCAAAGCTGATTTTCAGAATCATTACTCCAGTCTTCAGTGTCACATGATACTTCAGAAATCATTCTGATATGCTGATTTTCTGCTCAAGAAACTTTTCTTATTCTTAGTTATCACAGTTTAAAACAGTTATGCTGCTTAAAATGTTTGAGATACTTTTTTTCAGGATTATTTGAAAGTTATGCAGAAAGTTACATTAGTAGTGAAGACATTTTATAATGTTACAAATTATTTCTGTCAATTTAATGCATCCTTGCTGAACAAATACATTTTTAAATCTTACTGACCCCAAACATTTAAATGGTAGTGTACATTGTTGTAGATTTTTTCCATTGACCAAGGTTACATTGAGTCAAAAGTTTGTTAGAAGGTTAGATCATATCGAAAGTTGGTCTGATGGCTACATCCTAAATAAAAGGAAGTAAGATTTATTTTGTTTTATTGTTAGATGTAGAATGGAAAGTTAGTCACCATCAGACATAAAAATGGGAAGTGTGATAAAAGTTTATCATAAGATAAAATCTAAAATCAGATTTTTATGGTTAGTAACATAATTAATCTTATCTATTAAAAATCCACCATAACATTAAATATAAACAGATATGTTTATGTTTGATGTACTATTTAATCTCTGTTGTTCTTGGTCACAATCCATAGCAAATTCTACTTTTTTCCCTACGATGAAAAATAAATAGCTTTTGAACTACCGGGGTATATGTAATAAATTTGAATTAAGGCCTAGTTATCATTTACAAGAATCGACCAGCAGATGTCAGGCTTGGAGAATTCGAAAAATCCTCAAACACTTATTAAAAAAATGCATTAATAGATTGAGTACTTTCAATCCACACTCTAATGAACTGAAAGCTCACTTCTTCTTTTACCTGTATCAGAGGTGCATGTCCAGATTTTAACAGTGGAGTCAGATGAAGCTGAGGCCACCAGTAAGTGAGAGGAGGACAGAGACACGGCGTCCACTGCACACACGGGCCCTGAGTGTCCTGAACACACTGCACATGCTGTGAACTGAGCAGAAGAGGGACACACTCAACTCAAATCACTAATTAAGCTTTTATGATTATCCACTTATAGACAAATATACTAGAAGATAAGTTCCTTCACAGAATATATATATAATTGACACAGCTGGGTCATTCCTTTCCTGTAATATTTTTTTTATTATTATTTATATTCATCAATTATATTTATGTATTTTAAACTAATTTAATTTATTTAATAGATTATATATTTATTTAATATCTAATCTAATTTAACTATTTTCGTAATATTTCTTCTTCTTCTTTTTTACAGTTTTTCTCTAGGATTTTCCACTTACTTTCCCGTTTCCTAACAGTTAGTAAGGGTGTTAGCATCACTAAGGATTTCTTAAAACAAGGGATGTGTTGCAATATTTATAAATATTTGACTACATAATTGTTTACTTTTTACAATAGGTTTAATATTTTGTGTCATATGTAATATTGTTTGTGTTATATTTTTTCCGGCACCAAGGAAAGCACTTACTAATTTCATTGTACGTAAGTATATTGACATAAAAGCTTTCTATTCTATTCTATTCGGCTGTTATTCCAAAGATATTACAAAACACTAAAGATGGAAAGTGATACATAGAACCAGAGTGCATGGTTTTAAAACAAAATGGCAACATCAGTTCTAGTAAATTTATGTAAAATTAAAACAAATATTATTGTAGAAATGAAAAAATAAATATTTTTAAAGGTTGTTGATTTGATATTTTATAATATATTAGGAAAATACTGTACAATGAAAAAAAAAAAGTACTGCATAACAGAAAGGACCCAATTATGTTGTCAGCAAAAGTATTTATTAGGGCTGTCAAATGATTAATCTGATTAATCACATCCAAAATAAAAGTTTTTTTACATACTATATATGGGTGCACTGTGTATAATTATTTTATATATATAAATACACACACATGCTTGTATATATTTAAGAAATATTTTCATGTCTATACTGTATATAGATTTATATCTAATTTTATATTATATATAAATATTTTATATATAAATAATTTTTTTTCTTAAATATACATGCATGTGTGTGTATTTATATATATACAAAATAATTATACACAGTGCACCCACATATATTATGTAAAAAAAACTTTTATTTTGGATGTGATTAATCGTGATTAATCATTTGACAGCCCTAGTATTTATATTTATCGTTATTGTAAACACATACCTTCCCATCCTGCTTATCCCAAACAATAACATTATTATCTGACCCACCAGATACCAGCTGGGTTTCCGGACCTAAAGAAACAGACAGCTTACATTTCTACAAGTTCTTTTGTTTTTATTGTGTATGGCCATGACAGAAAGTTGAATAAAGATGCATAAAGATAATGTATTAATGATGGTTAAAGTCAAAGACTTACTGCAATCCTGTTTATGAACCCACTGGACAGCATTCACCCTTCCAGTATGTTTATTAAGTAACTCGACAATCCTTATTTCCTGATGACAATCAATAATAAATCAAATTAGTGTGAAACAAACCTGTCACAGTATCAGTGACCTGTCACATCTTATGTGACAGTTCACTAAACACATTTAATGTTAAACTGCTTTATCAGAAGGTACACTTACATAGCTTTGAGTTTTAAGTTTGCACATCATTGAATTAAAGAATCGGAACATGTGTAAGTAACGTAGTAATGTAAGTGTAATAATAATATGCGACATCATTTCAACTAAAGTAAATAATCATTCAGACGGTACCTGTGGATTATAAAGGGCAACTGAATTGCATGTCCCAAATGCGATGAGACCTCCTCTGCCCCAAGACACAACATTGGGAGTGCGATTAGCACAACAAGAGACATGACATGTGTCCATTACAGGCGCTGACATCTTCGACACTGCTGTGTGTTACAGTTAAAAAGAACCGGGAGAATATGCCATGATAGTAGTTCCCGAAATATTTAGTAGAAATAGGTTTCTCTAAAAATACAGTTGAATGGGATTGAAAAACAATTGGTATACATTTATTATTATATAAAGTAAATATGCACGAGACAGTGATGCAAAATTCCGGCAGACACCACAACTTTAGTGTAACCGGATGTAAATTCAGAGCGGACGCCGGACGGTTTTTTTGTGTAGCTTAATTTGTCGTCCGGCTTCAAGCGTCTCTGTTTGTATCTGACCACCACCAGACTCTCTAACGTTACCTCTCTAAAGTTTTTTCTTTCTGTTTGAGATAATCGCTGTTTTAAGCGGTGGATATTGACATGGAAGACAGTGAAAAGAAAGCCCCATCAGTAATCGAGCGATATTTCACACGCTGGTATAGAACAGGTGATATGTGCTGATCTGTATTGTCAATTCAGTTTTGTCTGCTATTATCAATTGATATTATTAGCTTAATGCATGTTCAGATTAGCATTTTGAAGCGTGATTTTCTTTAAATATATACACTGCATTTTAAACATGTTGATTAATTACTGTGTTGGTGTAAATGCTGACGTAGATCTGAAGGGAAAAGTATGTGAGGATCACTGCATTCTACAGCACTCCAACAGGTAACGTTAGGCCTATATTTATTCCCTCTTTACTGTTAAGTTTTGTTAGTGTTTCTTCAACTACTTACACTTTTAAATGGTTATTTTTGTTATATGAATATCAAAACTCATAACAAATACATTTTATGTATATTCAAATCTGTACATAAATCCCAGATCCAGTCTTTCAATCTTAATCTATAAAAATCAACCATGTTTATTGTATGAAATGGTTTATATACATTTTATTTTTTACAGAAATTACAGTTGCTACATAGTTGTAGGCAATATGGATTGAAATGACACCATGTTGGAAATGTTCGTGATGCATACATGACATGTCCACTTTATTTTTAAGTCCACAGGGCTATACGTGTCCATTATCTCTAAATTCACATTTTCTTCTCATCAGAATATGCGTCATCACACTTGCAGAGTCTCATCCTATCCTTCAGAATGGACGAAAAATTAAAAACATAAACTACCAGATCAGTGATGGATGCAGCCGTCTGAAGAACAAGGTGTCTGGAAAGTCAAAACGAGTGGGTACCTTTACCTTTGATAATTGTGATTAATTACTAATATATCTTAATTTACTCTTTTCCTGAACATTAATATGTACAATTTATTCTGCAGGGTGGTCAGTTCCTGACAGAGTTTGCACCACTGTGTAGAATAACGTGTACAGATGAACAGGAATACACCATATACAGGTCAGTTATAAAGAGCGCCTCTGGATATATACCACATTCAGTTTCTATAATCATAAAATGATCTCAACTCAAACTATATTTTTACAGCTGTATCAGAGGACGTCTCCTAGAAGTAAATGAAGCCATTATGAACAAGCCGGATCTGTTATTGGAAAGGGTGAGCATCTGTATATCATAACTCATAGTACATCTTTTAGAAAAAAAGAAAAAAAAATCTCCTTGTTTCAAACCTTAGACCACATGTGACTTGTGCGTTCATTATTTTTGGCACAGCCTTCCACAGAAGGATACATTGCGGTTATATTACCTAAATTTGAAGAGAGTAAGAGCATCACAGAGGGCCTTCTGACCAGAGAACAATATGAGGAGGTTGTTGTGAAAAGAAACCAACAAGAAGAGCCTTGCTGAGATCAACTTGCACTTTGAAACTGCTGAGTCTCCTTTGAGGAATAATTGCTTCAAGCAGGTGAGAACGTCTATGGCATCATGGCTTTGTGCCACTTAAATTTCAAAAAGACATCTTGAGAAAATGACGACTTGGAAGGAATGAAGACCTGTCTGCTGGATCCAGAACAGTCTTGGATTTCACTGGGTTGCATTTTGTTGGACCAGATGCCATTTTCATGGTTATTGTTTAGTTTGTTTCATTAAGAACTATTTTCATTTTAGGAGGAACAAGTCTATATCCACACAGACACATTATTTTCCTTCTGGTTGCTATAAAAATGCTGGAGATCATTGTAGTTGAGCAAATGCTAAATAAAGGAACAGATCTCTTCTGGGCAGATTCCCATTGAACTGGCTCTCATATGTTCATTTATTGCACCGTTCAAATGCCATGTGTGTTATGTTTTGTTTTTAATCCATCAAGTTTACACATTAACCCAAACTAAGGTCAGTGCTCTCAAAACAATTAACAGCCATGTGAACGTTTTGTAATTTTCCCAAACAAGATTTAGCACTTTTTATACAGATAACAAATTACGTACAGTACATCACAAGCAAAATGTACACTAATATTTTAAAAGTAATATTTGTATTCAGCAAGGATGCATTAAATTGATCAAAAGCGACAGTAAACATTATATTACAAAATGTTTTCGACACTTATAATAATAAATATTTCTTGACAGCAAATCAGCATATTTCTGAAGGATCATGTGACGATAAGGACTAATGAGGAGTAATGATGACTGAAAATTAATTTATTCCATCACAGGAAAAAATTATATTTTAAAATATTTTATCAAATAAATGCAGCATTGAGCATAAGAGAAAACTTACTGAATCTTGTGATCAGTAGTGTGTAAACATGTATTTTCAATAGGATTCTGTCTACAGCTGAACATGTACCCAACAGAGAACACTTTAATAGTTTTGAAGTTAGTATGTGCTTTAATTAATGTTAATTGAGGAGAATAAGTACTTCATTATAGCCTGGTTAAAACCAGACCATTCTCAGTTGTAACTGAGTTATGGTCTGGCAAAGCGTCATAGACAAATCATTTCCAGAGGGGCGTCACCAGCGGACGTCGCGGATAGACCTAAAACCAATCAGAGCGATGAAGGAGATGACGTATGCAGAGTGGGGGGAGAATCATCTCCGAGTGTTGTTCTTTGCTCGGTTTTTAACAAAAAGGAAACGTTCAAATCGCTTAAAACAGACGCGATAGCTGATTCGAACGAGTGATGTTCGACGGCGGCATCCATCTTTGTAATGTAGGCTACAAAATCTGTTTCAAAATCCCAGCGCTGTCGTCATCGTGTAAAGCCCGCCCCAATGTTTCTGATTGGTGCCTCGATTTCGGCAGATTGGAAATGAGTTTAAATGAGCTCTTTGCCAGACTAACTTTCAGAGCAAATCTAAATTTGCCTGAAGTTGTCTGGGTTTTCCCAGGCTAACTTCATCAAGTACTTCATAGATAAATTGGATGACCTTAGTGTAAAACTGAGTAAGAAATGTGTAAAACCGCAGATGTAATGCTTTGTGCATAAATAAATCACTCAGTCATTAATATTTTAAGAAAAATAACGTATATTTAGATTTTTTCTGATTTAACAATCATTCAATGGTCCAACACTAATACAACTTGAGGTCATAGCTGCACGATCATCTCTAAAGCTTATGGTTTGACTGACTGCAGTATAAATCAGAGGAACATTTTAGCAAAGTATCAACTACAATTGGTGTGTGAGTGGAAACCCAATTCTGAAGAGCCTTTTAATCTGTGCCACGCTAAAAAGTTGCTCTCCAGTACACGACAGCCTAAAGTTAAACTATTGATTTATATACCTTCTTCACTATAACCTTTAAGGTTAATGTACCAAAGCTTGACATACATTGTTAGGATTGAAGTAAAAATAGAAATCACAGTGACCTACAAGGCAGTCAATACTATAACAAGAAAGTACACTTAAAGGGACAGTTCAGCCGAAAATGAAAACGCTGTCATCATTTACTCACCCTCATGTCATTCCAAACCTTTATTATCTTCTGCGGAACATAAAAGGATATTTTTAAAATGCGTTTCTGTTTTTGTCCATACAACGACCCAATGACTTATATTATATGGATTTGGAACTTCAAAATACACTCCCCAGCCCAAAAAAAAAATAAAAAAAATTCCTGTTTGGATTTAAATAGGCAAATGCTTACGAGTCTATGATTGGATCATTATTGTGATTATTATGTTTCTAGCATATTATATGTTTGGCAACAGTTCTTCTAACCCTAACTGGTGGAGTGTGTAGCTTTTCATTTCTTAAACAACCATGTAGGAAGATGCATAAAGGCCATATTCCAGGAAGACAATGTCAAGATTCATCAGGCTTAAACTGTGAAAGAATGGTTAGGAGGGAGCATGAAGAATCATTTTCACACATGAATCGGCACCTCTGAGTCCAGACATCACAAGTCACAACATTTATTTCCATAAAGAGCACATCCGAACTGCCGATTCATGTGTGAAAATGATTCTCCTAACCATTCTTTCACTATTTGAGCCTGATGAATCTTGACATTGTCTTCCTGGAATATGACCATGATGTGTCTTCCTACATGGTTGTTTAAGAAATGAAAAGCTATTTGCCTATTTAAATCCAAACAGTGACTTTTTTTTTTTTTTTTTTTTGGCCGGGCAGTGTATCTTTTTTTTGTGTTTGACAGAATAAAAGACATACAGGTTTGGAACGACATGAGGGTGACAAAAAAAAAAAAAATTAGGATGAACTTGTCTCTAAAAGTGGAAATGGTATTTTTCTTTAACATCCTTCAGAAATGCCTCTTTGGAAAGTAACTTCCCTTGCTGTAAACTCTCAAACAGAACACCAAGATGCTAATTTCTCATAGTAATATCCAAAGTCACTGAAGTTGTGTCTTACAGCCTTGAGCAGACTGCCATGTGGCAAGACCAGTGTAGGAAGATGATTAAAACTGGATATATTTGGCATCAACTTGAACATGAGGCAGTTATGTTAAATACAGTGTGCAGTTTTTTTGCATCAAAACTTTTTATAATGTACACCTCAATGTTGGCTAATCACGAGAAACGCCGTTGAATATTGTTTCGGGTTAAAACCGTAGCTTATTTACCAGCCATTACACTTGAAACAGTTGCATAATGACTTCAACACATGCAATGAAGGGTTTTTCTTCCATATCTTTTGGTATCTGGAATGAGCCTGGAAACGCTAACACCATCGTACACCACAAAGCGAATGAGCAGAATCACAAAGAATGGCACGTTGTGAGCGAGTGCATTGCCATGCACTGTGTATGGGAGAACAGGCAGGATCGCCTTTGGTTTTCAGATCTATTTGCTCTCCAGGAATGTTAGATTGGCCATGTGCTGCTCCAGGGATTTGACCCCAAAGCCGTTGGAGCCTTTGCCGTTCAGAGTTTCCTCGCTGACAGGCGTCCTCAGCTGCTTCTCCCTCCAGTGCTGAGGAGAAGACAGGCAACTGCATTCGGATTGACACTGGAATTAAAGGTAGAAGGTAAAGTTAAATACAAACATGCTAGGATTTGATCATATACATTTTTTAAAGTCACCATGTGTCAAAAGAAATGGAGTCTTCTCTTCTAAACAATTAGATAAAGATCTAAATTATAAGAAAAGATATAATAAAACGCAGAGAATTACAGATCTTGTTGCCATGTTACATTATGAGTGTGGGTGAATTTGGGTTCTGAGGGACAAGAACATTGTGTGTAACTGCCAAATATAAAGACATAAATAAAATGTCTGGAAAGGTTGAAAACTGATTTGTGTATTGCAAATCCCATTGACGCAAACTGAAAAGTGTTGAAGCAGGTAAATAAAGCAATTGACGCAAGTAATGTAACAACGCACGCAGGAAATAAGCAGCACGTGCGTAAATGTAGAGATTTTGTGCGTCATAAGTGATTATAATAAGGGGGCCTTCAGAGCTCTCTGTGGAAGATCTTTTGGAGAGAGAGCATACAAGCGAGTAAAAGCCAGCTTCAAAACCACAACATCAAGAGAAGACACCTGACATTCTTAGAGAAGAACACATACACTGAACAGAGAAAGGGTAAGCCTTAAAATGTAATTGTGTATCTGGCCCATGGAACTTCCAGCTTGCAGAGAGAGGTGTATTTATCTTTTGTCTATGCAAGAAATAATAAAATGAGAATGAGGACTGCCCTCAAACTTTGATAGTATAGTCTCAGTCTGGTCATTGCTGTAGAGTGAGAATCCATTTGGGGTATCATGAGATGACGGTCTTATTTATCCATGCGCCATCGTAATCCCTCCCACTTGCAGTGAAATCTCTTCTCTGATGACGTGACGTGAGTGCGGGGCAACCGGTCACTCACATGAGATCAACCAATAGCAAACCACAACTATACAACGGTCCAATTAATTCCCAATGGACAAAATCAAGTCCTGCCCAACATTTTTTTCTTGTTATAAAAGCCGTTTCACTCGGCTATATATCACAATAGGGAAGAAAAGACTAATCACAACTTCTGTTTAATGCTGAATTTAAAATAGATTGTACAGAACAAAATCTAATCACACTAGAACATTACATAATATTTGAGGATGCACAATATATCAGTTTATTTAGAGATTTTTTAAATGCATTTAAATCTATTGTAGGAGACCTCCAAAACAGAATTAGGAACCTTTAAAATAGCATAATAGGGGAACCTTAATTATGCATGATCATGTCCACTTTTATTACATTTTGATTATCCTGTTCATCATCTAACACTCTTTGTAAAATGTAATCGGACAGAATCTCTAATAATAACATAATAGTGTAACACTGTGTCCTTTACATGTCAAGTTTTTGTCCTGTCCAGCCACAACCAATGTTAAAATTTAGGTTGAAATTGATAAGCTGATGATTATTCTTATTATGGCTGATAGATAGCCAATAAATGGCCAATATTAAAATTCTATACTATTTAGTCTATATTAATTTTCAAAAATGACTATAAACTAAACTCAATCATTTTTAATGCTACAAGTGAATTTAAGCATACCAAGATATATATATTTAAAAAAAAAAAACTATAAGTTTTTATTTCATGACATCATAGGTAATATAAATATAAAAATATACATAAATGAGCA